TCGGAAACTGATATTGTATTACACATTTAAAAACAAATACTACACGCTTTTGCTGTTGCCCCAGTGCAGCGACCAATTTTTTCACAAATGGTGTGGTTTTCATGTTTATATTATTATATAGACACTTGAATCGCTGAACATTCTCCAATATCAATGCTCATCTCTGATAGCACGAAACCAAGAGGATGAACAAAAAAAAAATCTTGAACTGTCATTAAACAATAACATTCAAGAAGGCTCCTCTCAGGACTGGAACCAAGTTCATCCATACAGTAGTACAGCCTGCCATATCTACTGAACTGTCAGCCTGACCCTGGTGTGCTTAAACTTGCTTGGGAGGGGGGGGGGCTGGATTAAATGGAGTGTCACTCGAAACTGCTCCAGAAGAAACGGTGAACATAGCGCATGACATTAAATACATCCGGGAGTGTGGGCTGTCACGTAAGTTTTATCTAGCGAGTGGTAGTTTGGTGAATCGAGTAGGAGAGAAGGGGGGACAACAGAGGGGGAAAAAGTGGGGAGGGATTGCTACTGGAAAACAAAGCAAGTTTGCTGGATGGTCACGATTATTTTTTGGTCACCTACACACACCAACAACAGCACCACCACCAACAACAACAGCAGCAGCAACAACAACAATAATACAGCAAACATTACAATAACAACAACAACAACAAGGCAGTAAATGTTGTAAAGTGGGGAGGGGCAAGGGATATCAAAGAGAATAATACCCAGAACAATGGCACCACCAACAACAATGGTTTAACCCAACAGCAATAACAAAAACAACGACAACTGCAATACCAGCAGCAGCGTCTACCACAAAAACACCGCCACCATCAACAGCAACAACAACAACAAAAGCAACAAAAACGAAACCAACACCACAACCAACACTGCTATCAACAACAACAACATCATCATCATCAACAACAACAACAACATCATCATCATCATCAACAACAACAACAACAACAACAACAACAACAACAACAACAACAACAACAACAAGAACCACAACAACAACAACAACCTCAGCAACAGCAACAACAACAACACATCCACTACCACTACCACCCACAAAAGCAACAACAACAACAACATTTACAACTATTACTTAAGACAAACGAACTATCACCACAAAACACTACCACATACTACCGTAATCTCAATTACAGCAACAACAACGTGGGTGCGTAGGTATGTGTAGTATGTTTGTATGCGTGGGGGTG